CTCCAAGACTCTGCCCCAGAAGCAGAAAGACTCCTGGGTCACCCAAGGTTGGTCTCTACACCCCGATTCCCTTTGGCACTCGCCTACTGGTGCTTTTGTGGCCCCCTTTTCACTCTAACCATCTCTGGCCACTCTGCTTCACGGTGTTTCGCATGTCAGAAAGGAGGGGATGGTCTCTGTTGTAACTAAGGCAGGATGGTGGGCCCCCCATTTCAGCTGTCCCAGTGCCATTAGCGTGATGCCAGGATACATAAGTCCTTTCAACTGCTTCTATTTAAAGGGCTCACGCCTTCCCCGCAGCTGCTGGACAACATGTTGCCTGACAGGCACGGGGAAGGTGCAAACCCTTTAAATGGAAGCAGTTAAGAGGGCTCGCCCATTTCTGGCTCCCATGCAACACGCCAGGGGGCAGGGCCTGGAACTATCTCACGGGGTGGATCAAAGTCCTGGGCGGGCCGGATCCAGCCCACTGAGAGACTTTTGCCCATCCCAACCTAGTCAGTTATTTCCATTTTGTAGTTGTGTCTGATGTTTCTTTCCAAAGTGTAGTATTTTGCCTTAGTCTTTACTGAACTTTGTCTGACTGATTTCAGACCAGTTCTCTAATTTGTCAAGATGGTTTTGAATTCAAATTCTGTCCTCTAAAGTGCTTGCAACGCCTCCACTGTGGTGTCATTTTCTAATTTTATAAGCATACTCCCCACTCCATTATCCAAGTCATTAATGATATTGAATAGTAGCAGACCCAACATAGATGTCTGAGCAAATGATTGATAACTACTGTCTGAATGATTTTTTTCAACCACCTAAGCACCCACCATATAGTCATTTCAGCAAACAACATTTGCCTAGTTTGCTTATGAGAATGTCATGTGGGACTGCATCCAGAAGCCTTACTAAAATCAAGATATGACATCTGCTGCTTCCTTCCCTATTCATTAGGAAAATAACCACGTCAAAAACAAACAAACAAAAAAAACCCTAGGTTTCCTTAGCATGATTTGTTCTTGACAAATCCGTGATGACTCTTCCTTATAAAATTGATTAATAGTCTGTTCAAGATTGCTTCAAATAGTCTCTTAAATACCAGAGGGAGAATTTCATTAGTTTCTGCTGATTTATCTAACTATTCTTAAACTTGTTCCTTCTCTGTTCTGACTTATGGTCTCTTCCCCCTTGTTATTAACATTAATTGTATAAAGCACCTGCTCACAATTCACTTCTTTAGTGAAGACTGAAGCAAAATAGACACAACATCTCAGCCTTCTTGGTATAGCCTGTTATTAGGTTTCTTCCTCCACTCAACATAGACCTATACTTTCCTTCATCTATCTTTCTTGCTATAACATGACCAATGTTCTGTCTAATATTTTCTGTGTGTGTGGAATATTTTTTGTTATGTGCACCAAGACATGTGAAGATGTGTACCATGAGTTACACATACTATTGGCTGTGGGCACTCTGCTAAACAGCTGGGCAACACTTGAATCTTTCCTGGGTGGCCACCCAAGTGCACAACTTACAGGGAACAATGCACGTGACCGTTAACATCTATTCACACAGTTAAAAGAATGCAATTTAAACAATGACATTCTTGGTAGCAGATTTGTCATTTGAAGGAGAAGGAGCAAAAAACTACCATCCTTTTAAGAATATCATCACTGAACTCAGGCTTCATAGAGGCCTTCTATACAAGTCTTGGCCTTCATCTTGGATTCACTCCAGAGATAGAGCAAATCATTTCATAATGTCCAAATACTGAGCAAAATCCAGACATGTTTTTTCTCCTCCTAACTTCTGGTGTGTACACATTAGCATAGTAGTGGGCAACCTTTGGCGCCCCTGGCTTTCTCCCTCCCACATATAGCTTTAATGCATAGGGGGACCAGAGGCCCACAATTACTTGCTCATGCTCCCTCTGTCCCAGAGCTAGAACACCAGAAATCAGCTGTTTGTGGTATTACAGGTCTGGCATGGAGGGAAGGAAGAGGAGGAACGTGAATCAGGTGATTCAGACGCTCCAAAAGTGCTGGGAGGGGAGAGGAGCAGGGAAGTGCTGTGCTCTGTTGCTCCGGTGCAAGAGAAATGCACGGGGAGGGGAATAGCCAGGGCGTCCATGAACCACAGATGGAGCTCCAGTGGGCCATGGGCCTTCTGAGGTGAAGAAGGGCTACTCATGCTGCCCATCCACCATTTCTGGTTGCCCATCCCTGCATTAGCAGCTATGAGAAAGGAAAGAGCCTGAGACTGATAGAAGGCGGCACAAACTAAGAAGAGCCTTCCATTTGCTGTCATTGTTCCGAGCACAACACGGTCCTGATTCCAAAACTTGTATGTTGATTCAAGACATTTCTGCTTTCCCTCTCACGTTTGCCTTTATTAACTACACATCTGCCTTTAAACAGGAATTTTATTGTGCTCTTGGGGGCATTTCCTCGCGGCATTTCCTAGACGTTGAATGTTTTTGCAGTGAAATTTTCGGCTCATTTTATTACCACATGTTGCTGTCTCGTCCCCTAACTGAAAAAGTATGCCAGCAGAAAAGCAGTTCACATAAAGTAGTAGCCAGGGATAAACAAGAAAAAGATGCTACAACATATTTTTCATTAATATTTAAACAAGAGGTGGCCAGAATCATCCAGCTGTGAGTCTCTCTCCAGGCAGGTAAGTATAGCTCTAAATACCAATCTGTATGATTCAGATTCTTGGACTGTCCTGTCACTATGGAAACAGAGTACTGACCTTGTCTATTGTTTTTAGTCCTCCATAGACAGAAAATTCTCAGAAAATCATAAGCAGCTTTGAGGGCTTTTCCCATGATTTTGATACTTAGGAGCATTTGATAAGTAAATAAAGGGTGGGGATAAGGGGAGAAAGTGATGGTTCATATTTTAACATGGTCATTTGTTTAAATTCATCCTTTGACAGTAATGGCATATGGAAAATGGAACTGATGTTACTCCAGTGCTAAACAGTCTGGGTATGTCTACACTACAGAGTTAGTTCGAACTAACGTCCGTTAGTTCGAACTAACGTCCGTTAGTTCGAACTAACGTCCGTTAGTTCGAACTAACGTCCGTTAGTTCGAACTAACGTCCGTTAGTTCGAACTAACGTCCGTTAGTTCGAACTAACGTCCGTTAGTTCGAACTAACGTCCGTTAGTTCGAACTAACGTCCGTTAGTTCGAACTAACGTCCGTTAGTTCGAACTAACGTCCGTTAGTTCGAACTAACGTCCGTTAGTTCGAACTAACGTCCGTTAGTTCGAACTAACGTCCGTTAGTTCGAACTAACGTCCGTTAGTTCGAACTAACGTCCGTTAGTTCGAACTAACGTCCGTTAGTTCGAACTAACGTCCGTTAGTTCGAACTAACGTCCGTTAGTTCGAACTAACGTCCGTTAGTTCGAACTAACGTCCGTTAGTTCGAACTAACGTCCGTTAGTTCGAACTAACGTCCGTTAGTTCGAACTAACGTCCGTTAGTTCGAACTAACGTCCGTTAGTTCGAACTAACGTCCGTTAGTTCGAACTAACGTCCGTTAGTTCGAACTAACGTCCGTTAGTTCGAACTAACGTCCGTTAGTTCGAACTAACGTCCGTTAGTTCGAACTAACGTCCGTTAGTTCGAACTAACGTCCGTTAGTTCGAACTAACGTCCGTTAGTTCGAACTAACGTCCGTTAGTTCGAACTAACGTCCGTTAGTTCGAACTAACGTCCGTTAGTTCGAACTAACGTCCGTTAGTTCGAACTAACGTCCGTTAGTTCGAACTAACGTCCGTTAGTTCGAACTAACGTCCGTTAGTTCGAACTAACGTCCGTTAGTTCGAACTAACGTCCGTTAGTTCGAACTAACGTCCGTTAGTTCGAACTAACGTCCGTTAGTTCGAACTAACGTCCGTTAGTTCGAACTAACGTCCGTTAGTTCGAACTAACGTCCGTTAGTTCGAACTAACGTCCGTTAGTTCGAACTAACGTCCGTTAGTTCGAACTAACGTCCGTTAGTTCGAACTAACGTCCGTTAGTTCGAACTAACGTCCGTTAGTTCGAACTAACGTCCGTTAGTTCGAACTAACGTCCGTTAGTTCGAACTAACGTCCGTTAGTTCGAACTAACGTCCGTTAGTTCGAACTAACGTCCGTTAGTTCGAACTAACGTCCGTTAGTTCGAACTAACGTCCGTTAGTTCGAACTAACGTCCGTTAGTTCGAACTAACGTCCGTTAGTTCGAACTAACGTCCGTTAGTTCGAACTAACGTCCGTTAGTTCGAACTAACGTCCGTTAGTTCGAACTAACGTCCGTTAGTTCGAACTAACGTCCGTTAGTTCGAACTAACGTCCGTTAGTTCGAACTAACGTCCGTTAGTTCGAACTAACGTCCGTTAGTTCGAACTAACGTCCGTTAGTTCGAACTAACGTCCGTTAGTTCGAACTAACGTCCGTTAGTTCGAACTAACGTCCGTTAGTTCGAACTAACGTCCGTTAGTTCGAACTAACGTCCGTTAGTTCGAACTAACGTCCGTTAGTTCGAACTAACGTCCGTTAGTTCGAACTAACGTCCGTTAGTTCGAACTAACGTCCGTTAGTTCGAACTAACGTCCGTTAGTTCGAACTAACGTCCGTTAGTTCGAACTAACGTCCGTTAGTTCGAACTAACGTCCGTTAGTTCGAACTAACTCTGTAGTGTAGACATACCCTCTAATATCTACAACCTGCAGAAACACCATTCCATTGGCATCAGGACCAGTGTTAGCAGTCTCAGAGATACCAGAGACTAAATGTGCAGGGAGATGTAACTTTTCTCTCAATACAAGAAGTGATTTTCCATGCTGCAACACATAGGAGGGAAGGATGAGGGGTAGTGTGCCATGCTGCTACCTGTGCTATATCTGCATGAACATGGACCGTCTCCTGGGCTAAGAAACCAGCACACTTAACCATCATTTCAGTAAATTTTAACTAGGTGCTTATGAACAAAGAACATGGAATGCAGAGACACTCACTGCCATGCGGTGCTGCTTCCTCAACTGCTTCACTCGGATTTGGTCCATGTTTGTAGCAACGTCCTTTTCAGGCTGCGCTAGGTCCTCAGAGTATCTCTGCACCAGAGCTTCAGGAACCCCACAGCGACCATGCTGCAAATTGCCACCCAGCCAGGAAGTAAGGAAGGCAAAGGACAAGAAAGAAAACCCAGAAGCAATACAAGTCAATAAAAGAGTTACAAACATTAAATGTAAAATAACCAGGGGAGCTTTAGATCTGATCATTATCAATTTCCTGGGTCTTGACTTGTACAATTTGGGAGATGTCTGGCAGATTTAGGGAAATAGTGATCAGAATTAGTGGGCATTAGGAACACAGGGATGGTCACAGCAGTGATTCATCAAAGCCCATCATCCTGTCTCCAACAATGAGCCAATAGGCCGTTATGGAGGCCTATGACAAGGAACATTTCTTCCTAGCCACCCATTAAAAGTTGGCTTTTGCTCTTATGCTGGATATATTTTACCCTTCCAAAACCCTGGGCTACATCTAGTCTGGCATGATTTTCCGCAAATGCTTTTAATGGAAAAGTTTTCCGTTAAAAGCATTTGCGGAAAAGCGCGTCTAGATTGGCACAGACGCTTTTCCGCAAAAGCACTTTTTGCGGAAAAGCGTCCGTGCCAATCTAGACGCGCTTTTCCGCAAAAAAGCCCCGATCGCCATTTTCGCGATCAGGGCTTTTTTGCGCAAAACAATACCGTGTTGTCTACACTGGCCCTCTTGAGCAAAAGCATTTGCGCAAGAGGGCTTTTGCCCGAACGGGAGCAGCATAGCATTTCCGCAAGAACACTGACAATCTTACATGAGATCTTCAGTGTTCTTGCAGAAATTCAAGCGGCCAGTGTAGACAGCTGGCAAGTTTTTCCACAAAAGCAGCTGCTTTTGCAGAAAAATTTGCCAGTTTAGACACAGCCTTGGTGTTTTACACCTTTACAATTAAAATTCTATTTCCACATCACTAGATTCATATGCCTGTCCCTCCAGTACTGCTATTATAGTGAAAGAGAGATTCCCTCATCATCCCTAGCCATTATGCTAACTTCATACAGTCTTTCGGATTTGTGACTGACTCTTTTAAACAGGGCAGCAATAATCTTTTCATGAACTAAATTTAATATCCAGCGCGAATTAGAGCAAACTGGAGCCATGGTCCTGTATGTGGAACTTAGTTGGAATTGAGCTAGATGTGGCTGTTGAATATTATTTGTATTCAGGTAGCACCTAGAACTGTTATTCTGGACCAGGACCCCATTGTGCTAGGTGTAATACAAACTAGGGATGTAAAAACTGCCTAAATTGGTTAACTGATTAAAAGATGAGCAGTGGGGACTACTTGGGCCCCACAGGCAGAGGGGGCTGCTAAGGCCCTGCAGGCCTGCTGCAGTAGGGGTCCTCCCAGCCAAGCTGCTGTGGGAGGGTGGGGCAGGAGTGGCAACTCCCACTGACTAGGTCCTCTGCTTAACCAATTACCCAGTAAACATGCTGGCAAGGGGGTAATGCTTACTGGGTAACCAGTTAACTGATTAACATTTTGCATCCCCAATATAACCATAACAAAGAGATGGTCCCTGTGGAGTGGGATATATAGCTTCCCTCCCAGCAGCCAGGAAGATGTGGCAGGAATGGGAGATGGAACTGTACATCAGTGTTTCTCAATCAGTGGTATGAGTACCCTTAGGGGCAACTTGAGAGACCTAAGGGGTGGGGGGGAGTACGTCAACACAACTGAAATTTGGAGAAAACTGAATTTTTGTTTTTAGTTTTACAGAGCTTTATTATTTTTGTACTTTTTACACCCAAACATTTCATCGCCCTCCCAACTTCGATTCAGTTGTTTTAACAAGTGTGTTCCAATGGTAGAAAAAAAATGTGTGTCTAAAAACTGTAGGCACTGGGGACACTTAATTTTTTTTTTTAAAACAGGGGTACTTATTTTTTTTAAAGGGGATAAGGTTGAGAAACACTGCTGTACACTATACTCTTTCATTGTATCACTCAGTGTACCTTCTGCACTATGATAACAGAGTGCTTTCACATATCAGTGGAGCATGACAGCGCCATTACAAAATTATGGCCTTGTTTTCTGCAACTTGATCAGATAGATTTAACTGTTCAGGGCAGAGTATCACTGCTTTACATCATTAAAATGCAAACCATGTAACTGGACTGACTTTCACCATTTATTCTCTTTGTTGCATTTTACCCAGCATGGATATAGGACTTCAACTGATTAGTTTCCCCTTTTGCTTTCCCAGTTCAAAATCAATCCTCAGTTGAAGTGTGTGTATCTATATATTTTTTCCAAACCCTTTTATTCCCGTAAAGGCTACTCACAAGGTTTTTGGACAGACAAAAAATGGACATCAAAACAAGCTGCCTAATGTCTAATGCCTGTTGCTGGTTGTGTAATTAATAGTAAGTCTGCAACTTTGGGTTATTGAACTGCCTCTATTCTCCCCTCAAAGTCAGCATGGGTCCTGATTTTCAGAGGGGCTCAGTTCCCATTTAGGCATCTATTTACACATGAGATTTTCCCAAATGCAATAGCTCTGCACACTGGGTGCTGGGTTCCTCCATCTGAGAGTACAGTACTGAGCTCTTCTAAAAGTTCCAGCTAAGGTTTCTGCACCCACCTTAGTTCTGAGAAGCATCACTGGTATGAGATAGAAAAGACAGAATTAGTGGGCATCATTGTGCTGGCGTAATCAGGGTCAGCCTGGATCCCAAACTCTTGGGAAGTGGGAAGATGGCTATGAGTTGCCTTCTTGTTACCTCCCTACTCTTCAGCAAGGGGGACTTATGTGGTTCTTTTCCCTCCCTCAAACCCTATAGCTGGAAAAGAACAGGCCTATGCTGGAAGAAGCAGAGCTTGCAGAAAATGCAGAGCTCAAAGCAACAAGGCCCCAATACCAGCTATTTACTTGACTGTTACTGAAAGGCTGGCTTTGGGTGTGAGGCCTGAGATACAGAGAACAGACTAACAACAGAGTGCCTGAAACATATTTCCATCTTTTCCAATGGTTTATAGAGGACAAATTAGCCCAGTTGCTGGTGAACAATGCACCAGACACAATGAAAAATTAGCTGTTATAGAGTTAAAATGTTTGAGCAATAGCCCCTTCTCACCTTGTCTGAATATGGTTCCTCTGTGAGATCAATCTCTTCAGACTGCAACTTGTTTTCTACCAACATTTCCAGATCCAGTCCTCTAGTACAAGAGACTTTCCTGGATAACGCAGGGCCTAGCTTTACCACATGTTGCTGAATGCTAGCAGTCTCTGGAAGCTCAGCTAACCAAGGGGGCAGCGTGCTTGGTGGGGTGCTGGGCTGCTCAGAAGAGGGCCTACAAGCAGGTATAACGCAGCAATCAATGGGGCTGGATGGATTGATCTTTTTTACTGGCAAACATGGTGCATCTGGACTGGAAAGGGCTCCACTTAGGGTCATAGGGGGATGATATAGTCCATTAGAAAGGCGTTCTCGGCTTTTTTTGGCAGGGACAGGTGGTGGCTGTGAAGGATTTTTTGACTGAATTCTTGCCTCGCTCATGCCCTTCTGGTCAGCTTTCAGTCCTTTCTTCAGGACTGAAGGATTATCAGACCTTTCAAGGATCTGAATACTTTTGTGAGACTTCTCCAGAGGTGTCCTTGTTACACTGTGTATAACTGAAGTAGAATGAACCTCCCAGCATTTAGGCAGGTGCTGAACAGGGGCCCCACATGAAGTCTCTGTTACTGAGCAGTCCAATGTCCTAGCTTTTCCCTTCTGAGAATCAGCAGTTCCTTTACTTTGCTTATGCAAATTGTCTTCTGCCCTCATGCCACCCTCAGGAGCCTTAGGCTTCAGGGCAGAAACAGTCATCTTTTTCGATATATCCAATATACCCTGAGGGAAAGAATCTACTTTCTTGCTAGTGTTCTGTAGGTCAGTGCTGGATTCTCTTTGGAGGTCATCCAGTGACTGAGATCTTGGCCACTTAGCCACATTCTGGGTGCCATTCAGAGTCTCACAGCTCCGACAGACAGCTGCTGGTAAACTTCTGCGGTTCTTCTTCAGATCTGTGATATTTGGAGGCTTGATGCAGCTTTTGGGAGCATGATGCTTGCAGCTCAACCGGATATCCTTCTTCCCTTGCTGAAGAGCTTCCACTGATTTAGTTAAAGGCAGAGTTGGATAATTTGGCAATTGGCTTCTATTAAAGCAGTGCTCACTGGCTGACTTTGTGGGCAGCAGAGAGGTCTTCCGAGTCTTGCCTAAAAACAAAGAAATTACAAACCATTGTGGGAAAAATATACAAAAGAATCACCTCCAGGTACATGTATCATCATTAAATGCCTTTGAAACACAAAGATTCTTCATTGGGAAATGAAGGCATGTCTAGGTCTTGTTCCTTTTTTCTGGTGTCTAGCTGGGTTAATATACCTTTTTTTTTATTGTAGTTATATCCTATAAATTATGCTAACAGATTTGACTCCTGCAGAGAAATTGCACAGTGACTGTTTACTAAGGGAAACCATGAAGCAATTTGAATTATTTTAGGATTGCATTAGCCTCTTTCCAGGGCTGTGTTTACCAGTTGAGGAATGTTATCAGTTAAATGTCATATTTTGAAAGGGATAAGTGTTTCAAATGGACTATCCATACATTCGTCTTAAATCTGAATGTCCTCCTAGAATGGAAAGTCTGGGAAGTATAGTAATATTTTTCGTTCACTGTTTGAGACAGATCATTTTACAAGAGCAAGTTCTGCATGTTCCATAACAGGTATGTTTTCATAGATTGGTTCATGGAGATGACAAAAAGCTCTGTAGGTCTTACTAAGATGCAGCCTCATTTTTAAGTCTTTTTTTATCTTAAGACAGAGAGTACTGTAAAATGTAGAACAGTTACTGAATGATTGAATCATTTTATGCATCTTGGAACTGGTGATTTTTACTGTGTAGAAAAACAGAAAGTTCACTTACATAATATACTTTCTATATCTATCTTCTTATAAACATCTAGTCAGTCTTTTGCATGCTGTATAGATTTTCCCAGTATTGGATCCTGAAGGTCATTAAAAACCTTCTTCTATGAAAGCAAAATGTTCCACATTCAGCCATTCCAGAACCCAAAACCACAGCCCTCCTTGTTACAAGACTAAGTTTGCAGCAGGTCCCCATATCTGGAAGTAGTTTCCATTGTATATAGGAGTTACAATTTGGTTCAATGGCTTTCAGCTCCCCCACACTATACAAATTGTTCCAGCACCCCTGGTTTGGTATCTGACTGTCAGGCTCTCTCTATCTCATACTTCATGGTCATTATTATAGAGTCCTCTGACCACGCTGTGCCTTCTAGTTATATTTGTGCAACACCATTAGCCTTCAATGGGTGCCTGCATTAGCACAGGACATGCTGAAGGCTCAGTCCTGTGAGAGCTGAGCACACGGTCTCAACATGCAAAGTACTTACGCAAATCCTTAATGCTAATTCCCATGGAGCTATTAACATGCTTCATATTAATCTGAATTGGCTCTAGCAAAATATTGAAATGCTATGCTTAAGTTGAAGCACATAGAGCAGATCCATTAAATATTTGCGTAAGTGGCTTGCAGAGTCCTCCTCACCTTGCAGGACTGAGCCCTAAGAAGTGGAGCTGCACTGATGGGGTGTGATTAGCAAAGAACCAAGCCTGACTCCCAGATCCTGGGAAAAGTTATCAGGGATGACAGAAAAATCAAGACCACCCTTCATGCCATTTTTAGAGTAAATTGTCACACTGAACACCCAATTTCAATCTTACCTATTATTTGTAAGGAGTCTTTTTATATTAGGGTACAGCTTAGTCAAGGGGCACACTGAAAGGTAACTAGACTGGTTGTTGCATCTTGATTAGGCCAGACCCAGGCAGAATAATATAAACCAGAGGCTGTATGCAAAGATTTTGCATACTTTTGTCAAAACTGCACTGCACAACTAACAAGGGCAAAAATCAATCTGAAGAAAGTGAAGGAACCGATACTGATTTAGTTTTCATGGATGGGAGATGCAAGATCATTCACAAGTGACGCTTAGCTCTTTGATCAGAATAGTGAAATCCCTCCAAATCAGGTAAGAACCCAAAGTGACAGCATCTACTGAACAGTTCCTTTCTGAGTGACAAGGACCCCTTAATATCTTTAAAGACAGATCAGAATTTTCTAATGTCAGAGCAGGTGCAAAAACTCATGTTTGAAAGCTCTCATTCAACCCAAAAAGAAATAAAAACAATTTCAGCTAAATGGCACCTAGAGCCAATTAATTACTACCTAAAGGCAGGCTTCATTCAGAGAACTCAGTTTCATTCATATTTAAAGTGCACTACTTTTCAGCGATGGAGGATTCCTTTCAATACAACTTGCATTCAGAGTTTTATCTGGAAGATACTAAGAGTTGACTTCTGAATAATACCCAGTGATTGCTTTGTATCTGAAGTCTAATACATGTCCACATGCCTGCTTCACTCCAGGATAGCATGTCTCCAAAACTTCACACATGCAAAGAAATAACTTGTTAATCAAGAGGGAAATTTATTTCTTACATGCTCATTGGCTCCTCTTTCAGACGGCTTACAAAACATGGCATCATTTTAGAAAGCTGCAACATTTCAGGAGAAGGGTAGGAAACGTCCCCCCCAAAACACATCTTATTTAATGTTACCTCATAAGAGCTAATTCATTTAACACTCTCTGAACACATCTTAAAACATGCATGAGAGAAGCCTGTTAGGAAATGTTATGCCTTTCTTTGTTGTGCCCATACCTCCGAAGCTAGGCTTTCAGCCAGGAGTGGGGAAAGGAATATATCATTTAGTTTATCTGTACATTTATAGCTCCAATTGTAATTCATTTTACTGTTTAAGCTTGCTCTGAAGTTTACATACAAGCAAAGCCCATGCAACTTCTTTTGGTTCTGAAGTATTGTCTAGCCAGATATTTATTTTTGCTAGTACAGCAAACTTGTGAATCTTTCCTTTACAGAAAAATGGCACACAATTATTGCATAAATTAGCCCTTGTAGCGCCATTAAAGGGTATTTATTAACTGCATTTTGTTAGCAGTTCAGAAGAATATACCAGCAAGCATGACTGTGTGCAAAACAAGGCCCTTTGAGAATGGAGGAAGAAAGGAAAAAGAATGGAAAGGAAAACAGAAGAGAAAGAACAAAAGTTTCAAATGTATGTACCAGCAAACCCTTTACTCAATAGTAGCCTTGATTCTGGTAGTTGTTCTCCATGGGTAGACCCTAGTGCTCATGCAGAATGACGTTCAGGAGATGGACCCAGTTGCTAACAAAAATAAAATCTAACAGAGGTAGCCGTTAGTCTGAACTTGGTAAAACAAAAAAAGCAATCATGTAGCACTTTAAAGACTAACAAAATGGTTTATTAGGTGATGAGCTTTCGTGGGGGCAGACCCATGATCTGAAGAAGTGGGTCTGCCCCACGAAGTCTCATCACCTAATAAACCATCTTGTTAGTCTTTAAAGTGCTACATGACTTGTTTTTTTTTGTTTTAAAAATAAAATCAGCTCTTGGGGGAGTTTTGTCCATGACGAAAACAATACAACACAAGATTATTTGATGTATTAATTAATACAATAGCACTAAGCTTCAAAATGATAGCCCACTTCTCTGAAAAAGGTAGCATCAGAATCAGTGCTTGGATGGCAGACAATTGGTTAGATTGTGTTACATGGGTGTAAATGAGGAGGCATAGTACTTCATAGGAGTTCTTCCTGATTTACACCATTGTGTCAATCTAGCCCAACATTTGTAAGTATTTGCAAAGATATTTAAAGTTCAAACTGAGTACAGTCAATAATTTTTAAACAGACCTTTCTTAGGATCAATATTATTAGCATTAATTCAGTCTCACGAGGCCATGTTGTTATTAAGCAGCCTGACACTTTTGGTGATCTTTTTCAGAACTATCTATTGGCAGCATCATGTCTGCAGTGTTGGGCTACATATGTTCAGAAAGATTTATATAGCTGGAAAAATTGCATTGAACAATACAGGTAGTCTTCAGGTGTTGCCCTCTCTTCTATTGTAAGGCAGAATATGGAAGCTTTATGAGGCTGCAAAATGAAGACTATAGGACTACTTTCCACAGGTCAGTTTCCCTTTCTCATTGTGGTACCTCAATGCCCAGACTCAGTGGCATTAAAACATCAATGAATCTTATGAGCCTGTATCATTTTCCTCAGAAAGGAGGACTCAGACAGCAGGATTTACCAGGGAGAATGTCACAGGGCTGATGTGCAATGGTATCTGGAGGAAATGTGGAAGGGTGTAAAGGGGAACTACCTGAGCAAATTTTCCACCCTTGTTAATCTTTATTTTGAGGAGAATCACTCCACAGAGCCAACTACTCTATAGGATGAACTACAGATGAGCCATCTTCCTTAATTCAGATTTCATTATGGCTTTGTTTTCTGTGGTTTCATTTCCTTGGGTTTTTACAGTTGTACTGACACAACAAAGATATGATGGTTGGCACAACAGGCAGTCATGGCTTCATCTCTCTTGTCAATTGCAATATAAACTGGTATAAACACAGAGTTAGATGTGTGATCTGGCTACCTGCTTTGTCATTTCTTCTGTTTAGATAGAGAAGGATGGTTATGGTGCTAACCTGGGATTTAAGAGATCTGAATTAGCTCCACCAATTTTTCCTGTGGGACTACAGGCAAGCCATTTAATGTTTCTGTGCTCAAATACCCCTTTTATAGACAGGCGACACAGTATTTCTCCACCTCACAGAGGTGCTGTAAAAATAAATGCATTAAAACTTGTGACCTGCCACATAAGTACCCCAAACAGCTAATTCTGCACCTGCTGTAAAGCATGTAGCAAACAACAGATTAATGTAATAGATTCTGAAAATTTGGAATTGCTGCTAGGAGGATTGATATTTGCCAGCAATGGGGCCTCTGTACTTGTCATTAGAAAAAAATAGCCACCTCACATACCTAAGAACCTACTTAGTTCTCAGAATGCATTTCCCCTCTCTGTGAAAAAGCAGATGATGATTGTTTGGTTGTTCGTTATATATTTGTACTATGCTGCTGCTTATCCTCACTTTAACAGAAGAGAGCCAACAGAAGAATGTATTTTGGAAACAAGATGCATATAAACAATTATATTGTGTGGACTTTGCAAATAACATGGGACAAACCAGCCTTGGCAGAACCCTTTTTACCACAAGAAGAATGAATCCAGTACAAATGTTACTCCCAGGACAGTTTCTCAAAGAAAGCACTGGTATGTAAAAATGCAGCAAGAAAAAGTTGAACAGCAATACAATGCATTAGTGATCTTAATTCTGGAAAGCTTCCACAAAGATATTAGTTGAAACTTAAAAGGAAGCATTCCAAAAGCAGGCAGCCAATGACAATTGCTTTACGAACATTTTATTAAACTAACAAAAACATACAGGCAGCAATTTAATCCTAATGCTGAAGCCTTCATTAGGAGATGGAAATCAAATAGAGGTAGTGTATGTAATTTAATATTAATTTATCTTTCTTTAGCACAATATACAGATTTCAGTCACATTTGAAATACGGTCATCAAAAGTACCAACCGCTGCAGGGGAATAAAAACAGAGGTCAAGCTGCTCTGGTCAAGTGACAACACTGTAGTGCAGGAGGCTCCAGTTCAAGGAGACAATTCTGGTCTCTTGCTCTCTGAGGCCTGTAGAGTTTAGTGCATCATGGAGTTGATGAACTTGGGTTCCTAGCATATGGTACTTTCTCTTCCCTACATGAGTATCTTCAACTGGCACATTAATAGAGGCGGCACTGACTCAGGGGACGACCTTCTACCCACATTCACAGCTAGAAGAAGGGAGCTACCTAAAAGGGGTCACAATGGTTTTTTTCCAAGCACTTCTTGGTTTCCCATTTGCATTGGCCACTGGTGATAAAGCCTGGGCAGACAGAGGCAGAGGCAGAACTCAGATGTCTGGAGTGACATCACCAAATTCAACTGGCCAAAAGCAATTTAAGAGATAACAATTGTACACATTTTTGTACCACAAATAATCCTAATTCATTTGACCGTTTGCTTTCTTCTAAACACTGGAGTGTAGCCTCTACTGAGATCTGGCTTGCCATTTAGACACTACTTCCCTGCATCACAAGCCAGGATAATGGGGAGTCTAAATAGTAGATTCTTGCTCTCCCAACACACCAACATTTGGATACAGTTGGTTTGCTGAGGTTCATGCAAATGCTTTAACATCTCAATAAGAGGAAGTCCCTTTGAGGGCAGGAGGATGCAACGTGCATCTCAAGCAAACACACAACACCACTGCCCCACACTCTTTTCCAAAGATGGTTGTTTTTGTTTGTTTGGTTAAGGCTGTGAACAAGTCCTCCAAAGCCTCAATGAGAAGTGAAGGGAATTCCCCATTGTCAGTACTCCCTTAGCAACAGTTATAATTATGAGTACCAGTCTCAAGAGTACAACAGCAGATGGAGCAGGAGCAGTGCTTTTTTCTGTTTAAAAAAAAAAAAAAAAAAAGGTGAGGGTACTCCAGGGGAAAAGTTGTTGAACTCTGACTGGCGGTGCCGGTACTGCATAATGGGCAGTACCATCACAAAAAAAGCACTGAGCAGGAGGAAGATGGGAGACAGAGGAAGGAAAGCAGGAGGAAGATAGAGAATACAATCTCCAAATCATCTGCTTTTCTTTTGTAATCCTAGGTCCTCTGCTAGTGTATAAAAAAGCAGCAACACCACCACCAACAAAAAGCAGTAGCTCAGGAAAAGGGAGAGCGAGAGTGCGAGGATGAGGGACTGAGAAAGCCAAGTATGAAGAGTCTCCACTTTTAGCTGGAGCCTGGAATCAGAAAGGATGCAAAAGTCACCTGCATAAACAGGCAGGGCAAGTTACAGATTCTTTTTGCATTCATTACCATTCTCCAAGTTTTCACTGCTTTCATAGCAGCCAGAATCCCGGGGAGAGCATCCACTCAGGCCCTGACCTTCTATAAGAAGTTTCTCCTGAGATCCCGACTGGTCGCTGTTACCTGGAGGAGGTAAGAGTGCACAATGAAAGAGAAGGCCATTACACAGGGAATCTGGTGCAGGTTCTTGCATTAACAACTTCATTTCCTCCCCAAATGTTTACTAGCACCCACTGCATCAGGAGGGGATAAAACTATGTGTAAAGTAATTACAACGGGGAATAATGCTGTTAAAAGACAAGATATGGTATAATACCCTCATTTTAGAGTGTGAGAACAGTGATGTGAATAATAGAAAGTATAGCAGGGACTTGTTTACTGGAATAGCATAGAAAGCCTTTGATCAAATAACCAACCTATACAGCAGAGCAGGGGTGGGCATAAGATGGAGGTGATTCTCCAGAGTTAGCTCCTGGTAGGCTGCTACAGCTTTATTTACGTGTGCCTCCGCAGGTACAAGCACTTGCAGCTCCTACCAAGCTGACTATCCCCAGCACTTCCAGCGGGGGAAATCAGGCTGGATTCCAGGATTTGGCCAAACTATTTTATACAGGTATCTAAAAGGGTGTTACAAGGAGGAGGGAGAAAAATTGTTCTCTTTGGCTCTGAGGATAGGACAAGAAGCAATGGGCTTAAACTGCAGGTTGGGCATTAAGAAAAACTTCCTGTCAGGGTGGTAAAACACTGGAACAAGTTGCCTAGGGAGGCTGTGGAATCTCCATCTCTGGAGATATTTAAGAGCAGGTTAGATAGACATCTATCAGGGATGATCTAGATGGTACTGGGTCCTGCCATGAGGGCAGGGGACTGGACTCAATAACCGCTCGAGGTCCCTTCCAGTTCTAGTGTTCTATGATTAAACTGAGGACTGGAGAAATAAAACCACCAATTGCCTGATGCACAGCTACTGTTTTTGCTGTCCTTTCTTCAACAAAAGCCAGAAACTGCTAGTCTGATGCCTATTCTCAGAGCATAAAAAAATGTAATTATGGAGCAGACAGAGGAGCTGCTGCTCACATAGGTTCCAGCTGTCTCCTTCCCATTCCACTTTTTGTACACACCCTCACCCACACATAGAGGAATTCATTCTCTCTCCAATTCTCCTCCAAAGAATGCCTTACATTTTTAAACCAACATGGCAGGTTACTATAAAACCTATTACTGTAAAAAAAAAAAAAAGTTCACATACTATATTAATCTTGCAAACAATAAGGAAAAGACAAAAATGCCCCAAACCAGAGAAGAAAAAAGCCTAAAGTTTGTAATTTTGAATTTATTCCTGGGAAAAGACAGAAAACTTAGGATGGCCTGCAGAGAATACTTGCAAGTGGTACAAGGAGAGGTCAGAGAATAGAGAAATGGCACTGAATGTGAACGCATAAACCTACAGCACAAATCTCTTAGCAACAGTACTGGACCCAATGGCTGTGTTAGCAATACTTGATTTCCAGATGAATGAGCCCAATATTGCTCCTTTGAATAGTCAGGGTTCTAGTCAGTTTAGCTGATGTATTTTTTCCTCTTCAAAGTTACACCCACAATCACACGACAGCAGATTTTACAGCAGAATAAATAACTGTGGTAGAGCGAAATGCAAATGTAAAACCTTCTGCAATTCCCTAGTAGCTCAGCTATTTAACAGACACCACAGAAATGCCTAGACTAGATTAGAAAACATCAACAGAATCCCTCAAGTAGTTTCCTAGAAGTGGTCAAAGGCGGCACTGGTAAAATGCCAGAACCCACTTACTATCATATTCCTGTAAAAGCTCCACTGCTGTGAGGAGAACAGCTCTGTGCTCAGGGTCTCGGATATTCAGCTCATCCAAATCTTCCTCTTCCAGCAGCTTGAAAGTGTCCAGATCTTCATAACCACATCAACAGAATCCCTCAAGTAGTTTCCTAGAAGTGGTCAAAGGCGGCACTGGTAAAATGCCAGAACCCACTTACTATCATATTCCTGTAAAAGCTCCACTGCTGTGAGGAGAACAGCTCTGTGCTCAGGGTCTCGGATATTCAGCTCATCCAAATCTTCCTCTTCCAGCAGCTTGAAAGTGTCCAGATCTTCATAACCATTGAATAGAAAAGTGGGCATGTGCTCCTATGGGGGGGGGGGGGGGGGAAAA